GATGCTCCTCTTGGCGCGACTCTTCACCGTTTGCTGCTCAAACCAGAGAACCTGGGGGGGGGAAGCAGCGTTGCAGGCACCCTGTGTGTTCCCATAGGGTCATCCTACGCCCTGCCCTGGGTCCGTGGTGCAGCCCAGCCCCTACCTGTGGCTCCCTGCTCAGCCGCAGGCTCCAGCCCCAGTGCCTGCTCAGGGACGTCTGCCTGGAGCCACGGTGCTGGAAGTGGTAGTAGGGCTCTTCCTCCAGCACCTGCAGTGAGGGCTGAGCTCAGGGGCTGCACGGAGATGGGCGGGGAGGTGGGGATGTGTGCGTGCCAGCTCTGCTGGGTTGGGATGTGATGCATTGGGTGGTAGGGGTGGGAAGGGACATCTTGGGATCATCGAGTCCAATCCCTATGCCAAAGCAGGCTGACTTGGACCAGGGTGGTACTGGAGGAGAGGATGCTCTGCAGGATGGCGGGTTTATGCACAGGCTACCCGTGCTTGTGCGGTGGCTGCAAGTAGCTGTGCAGCCTTATAGGAACTCGTGTACCCCTACACAGCCCTACATCCCACCTACAGCAGGTCACAGAACCACAGAATGGCCAGGGTTGGAAGGGACCTCAAGGATCGTGAATCTCCAACCCCCTGCCACACGCAGGGCCACCAACCTCCGCATTTCACAGCAGCCCAGGCTGCCCAGGGCCCCATCCAACCTGGCCTTGAACACCTCCAGGGATGGACAGGGCATCACAGCCTCTCTGGCAGCTGTTCCAGCACCTCACCACTCTCATAGCAAAGAACTTCCCCCTGGCATCCAATCTAAATCTTCTCTCCCTCAACTTCAAACCATTTCCCCTCATCCTGCAGTTATCAACCCTTTCCAAGAGCTGACTCCCCTCCTGTTTGCAGGCTCCCTTTAGGTACTGCAGGCTGCACTGGGGTCACCCCGCAGCCTTCTTTTCTCCAGGCTGAACGAGCCCAGCTCCCTCAACCTGCGTTTCGGACCTCACCTGCCCCACGCACAGCATCCCGTGCCGCTTTGCCAACCGCCCCGCATCCCGCGGCCCCGCCTCCACCCGCACGGCCCAGCTGCTCATGTAGACTCGGGGCCGGGCTGCGGGCAGATCCTGCGGGAGCCCCAGACCCCCCCCCAACCCCAGACCCAGCAGCAGCCGCAGCCCCCACGCCGCCCCCAGGCCGCGCGGTGCCGCCATGCCCCGCGATCGTTGCCACGGACACGGCGACGCCACCTGCCCGCCCCGCCCCGCACAGCTCCGCATTGGACCCGGGGCCGCGCGGAGGCGAGCGAGCCCCGCAGCCATGGGCTCCGTGCAGCAGCGCCTGCAGCGCTTCCTCGACCGCCCCGGGCCGCTCTCCGACTTCCTCGGCCGCCTGGAGTCTCGCACCGGCGTTCGCCGGCTCTACCTGGCTACAGGTGCGCCCGCAGCCCCACCGCGGGATCCCTTTTTTCCCCAGCTCGGGAGCCTCCCCTAATTTCGGGTGCCCCCCTGCCCTTGAGTGTGCTGACAGCCCCGCGCTGCCCAGCATGGGGCCCGGCCGCTGCCTGAGGGGGTAGGGGGGGGTGAGGGAGCTGCCAGGGGGGCCGTTGTGTACTTGGGGGGTGGCAGCCCCCTCCCCTCCTCACTCTCCTTCCTCTCCCCCCTTCCACTTCCCTTCCCGGCCCCACATGCCGCTGGGTGGGCTTCACAGCCGTGCCCAGCCTGGGTCCCCACATCCCCCTGCCCTTGGGAAGCCCAGCTGCAGTGTGGGACAAACCCCAACCCCCACCCCCAAGCAGGAGGGCAGAGGTCTGCTCGTTAACCACGTGCTGTTTGTTCATTAATGAGAAACCAGAGATATCTCCCTAGGCAGCTGATCCTGACACCACTTGACCCCTCGGTGCGGCTGTCACCTCAGCCTTGGCCAAGTTTGTTCCTTGGCCCCGTTTATGACTTGCCATCTGCCTCTGCATTTCCGTATTGAACCTCCTGGGGTTTCCCTGCTGTGCTCCCAGCCCAATTCCTGGCCCCATGGCTGCTGTAGAGTTTGACTGCTCCTCTGGGAGCCGCATGCAGGAGCAGACACGAGTTTGGAGCAGTGCTGGGCTGTCAGATGCCTGCTGCTGGGGCTCCAGTTGCACTTTGGGCTGTGGGTGATGGGGACGAGCAGCGGCGCTGCTCCTGCAGCACAGCTCCGGTGTCTGGAAAGGTGAAGCCGCTGCTCAACAACAAATATCAGATTTCTTCCTCCCTTCCCCCCGCTCTGCAGCAGTCCCTCATTTCTGTTGGGATCAGAAGGGGCTGCTCGGTACCTTTTAAACCAGCACAGACCCAGCAGCTGCCTCTGGGCAGCACAACTGGATCCTCTGCCAGGTAAAGGGGAGAACAGCATCCCCTCTGTGACACACCTGCAGGCTGCCTGTGCTCGTGGCTGGGGAAACCTCTTTGCCAAGCTCTGTGGCCAAGCCTTGCTCTCCATTCAGTGCTGCAAAGATCTTCAGTGATCTCCCATCCCATATGGGAGGCAGGGATGGGGCTCTGGGGTTGGGTGCCTTGGGGCAGCGTGGGCAGCTCCTCCACCAGCCTGGTCAGGGTCCATAGTGCACAGAATCCCTTTTCCTCCGCTGGATTTTTCCTCCTTCTGTGCTCACATTGGTGTCATTGTGGGTTTAGGACCCCAGGATGCGTCTCCTTCCTGCCCTGTCCTTCACACAAGGCTCCTCTGTGCAAGCTGAGCCTCTCCTTTGTGTTTTGCTCTTACATAAATTTCTCTGGGGGCTAAACTTAGCCTGTGAAATCCATTCTAAGGCTCTTTAGGGAATGAAACCCGGAGCTGCCTGAACCTGCCTGCTTGTTTCCCTCGGAGGGAAGCTGTGGCTGCTCCCACGAGTTGGGAACAGCGCCCATCTCCTTGCAGAGCCCCGGGCCCAGAGGTGCCCATGCCAGCACTGAGCTGCTGCTGTGAGCAGTGCAGAGATGAGCCGTCCTCTGTGCCCCTTTCCTTTAATTCACTGCCACAGACAGGCTAAGTCCCAGCTCTCTTGCCTGCTGTAGGATAAGGAGCTTATGCTGCTGGCAGTGTTGTAAGCAGGGTGTGCAGGAGCTGAGATGCTGCTGGGGTGGCACAGAAAGCACCAGGCTGTGTGCTCTGCTCCACCACAGTGGTGGTTTGGCAGCAAGTGCTCCTCTGATGCAGCACCTGGGGACTGGGGAGGTGCTTTGCCTTGTCTTTAATTTAACAATCACATTTAATGACGGGGAAGCTGGATTGCTGGCTCTCAGGGGGCTGAATCCTAACAGGCTCAGCACAAGCACACGCAGGGTAGTGAGCAGAGGGCAGCAAGGAGGCAAGCATCTCCCACCTGGGGCTGCCTCCATCCCCCTGAATGTGTTCTGCTTGCCATGGACAAGTCCAGGCCAGGGAGAGGACAAACGGTGACCAAAGCAAAGCCTGATGTGTGCACCCCTTCCTCCCAGCAGTGCAATGCAGCTCTGCACAGCTCCCCGTGCTGAATCCCATGCTCTCGGTTCTGTCCTGCAGGTTCCCTGGCCTTCCTGGGGCTGTACCTGGTGTTTGGCTACGGTGCCTCACTGGTCTGCAACCTCATCGGCTTCGCCTACCCTGCATATGTCTCGTAAGTACTGACTCTACAGCCCTGGATGGGCAACGTGAGGAGGGCAGAGTCACTCCTGGGGCAGCAGGACCTGCTGTGGGGCAGGCACACTGCAAGGGCTGGGGACGTGGGGAGGCCGTGCCTGCTGTAGGAACAAACCTGCAGAAGCAGTGACCTGTCCCCTCCCTCCCACAGCATTAAAGCCATCGAGAGCTCCAGCAAGGAGGATGACACCACGTGGCTCACATACTGGGTGGTTTACGGAGTCTTCAGCATAGCTGAATTCTTCTCTGACATTTTCCTCTACTGGTTCCCCTTCTACTATGCTGGGAAGGTAACACCTTCATGGGGGCACGGGGGCTGCAGGTGCCGGAGCATTCCCCTTTATGGCTGAGTTCTTGGGGTTCATCTGTTGAGCTTTGGGGCCTCCAGAGAGCTCCAGCCTTTGGCAGGAGGGAGCGGAGCACCCCAGCAGCTGCGCTGCTGTCCCAACCCGGCTCTGCAGCTCCTCTCCCCCCAACAGTGCCTGTTCCTGGTGTGGTGCATGGCCCCGGTGTCCTGGAATGGCTCACAGGTGCTCTACCACAACGTCATCCGGCCCTGCTTCCTCAAGCACCACCGTGCTGTGGACACAGTGCTCGGCGACCTCAGCACCAAAGCACTGGATACAGCCTCTGCCATCACCAGAGAAGGTAATGTGGGTCCATCCCCCCCAACCTGGGGCGGCTCCCGGGGCCCCCCCTGGCCCCCCCCCCCCCCCCAGGCCGTAGCCCCATCCCTGCCATGATGGCAGCCCAGCCTTTTTCGTTGTCTCTCTTCTTTCTGCGCCTCCCGGAGCAGTTCTGCACACTCTGCTCAGCAGCAGAGCCCGGCTGGCTGCTGAGGTCGCCCCGCAGCTCAGCGTGTCCGTACGTAACAGCCGCATTTCCATAGCCAGCACGGAGCCCGCGCCCCGCTGCCTCAAGCCCTGCTCCTACAAGCCCCGCTCCTCTCTTTAGGCCCCTTTGCTGTAGTCCACCCGGCTCCCCGCTGCAGATATAGGGCAGGCTCTCTCTCCCCTCTCCCGCAGCCCCGCACTCTCCCGTCCCGGCGGGTTCGTTGCGGGCTCCGGCGCTCACACGGCGCTCTCTCTTTCCCGCAGCCTCCGGGACCGCCGTGAAGCTGGCACAGGAAGCGAAGAGCAAATGAGGCACCGGGACAAGGCCGGTCTGAGCCCGGCCCCCGCTCCCTGGCCCGTCCTCGGCTCGGTTCCCCCCCCCCCCAAGTAAAGCTGTTCCCGATCCATTCCCATCTGCTCCGCGCGCTCCGGGCCGGCACGGCGCCTTTAAGAGGGGGCGTGGTTTCGTGCGCGGGTGGTGGCGCGGAGATGACGTCATCGGTGCGCGCCCGAGGGAGGGGCGCGCGTGGGGCGGTGGAGGTACGGCGGCCGGGAGGGGCGGTTTGTCTGTCTGTCCTGGGGCGGGGAGAGGTGTGCCCGTCTGGCGGCAGGGAAAGGGAACTGTCTGTCCGTCTATCTGTCCACGGAGCGGGGAGGAAGGCTTCGTCCTGAAGGAGCGAGGGCGTCAGGGGTGTGTCTTTCCGTCCGTCCGTCTGTCCGTCCGTCCGTCGGTCCAGGGAGCGGGGTTGGTGTGGAGGTGGGGGGACGCGTGTCCTTCAACTGGCGGTGGGAGAGGCTCTGTCTGTCCGCCTGTCTGTTTGTCGGGGGGCAAAGATCCCGGGGCGGGGAAGGAGTGACCGTGCTGAGGCTGCGTATGTCAGTCTGTCTGTCTGTCCTGGAAGGGATCGGCCTGTCCGCCTGAGGGAGGGTCGGTCGGCCGGTCTGTCCGTCTGGGGGCGTGGGGGGAGGAGTCTGTGTTTCTGTCTGTCTGTCTTTCTGCGGGTCCGGGAAGGGCCGGCAGCCATCTGCCCTTGGGGTGAGCGTCCGTCTGTCCCGGCTGTGAGCCTCCCCTCCCTCTCAGAGCCCCGCCATGAGCTCCAAGGCCAAACGGGTGTTGCCCACCCGCCCCGAGCCGCCCACCGTGGAGCAGCTCCTGGCCGACGTGCGGGGCGCACCCCCGGCCGACCCCGTCCTCCTGCTCCCGGCTGAGCCTCCCCGGGGCAGCGGTGCTGACCGTGACGGCCCCGCTCCAGGTGAGCCCCGCGGAAGCAGCAGCGGGCGGGGAGCCGGGATGACCGAACCTCCATTGAGTCCCCCACGCCTCACAGGGCAGGAGGACGGCGTGGAGGAGCAGGAGCGGCTGTACCGGCAGTGCCGCGGTTACGTGGAGATGAACCGGCGGTTGCGGGAGGCGCGCGGGGAGCTGGCAGAGAAGCGTGACGAACTGCAGAGGGCGGGCGCGGCACTGGAGAGAGACATCGCCGAGATGCGGCAGAAGGCGTTCTGAGGTCGGGACACGGCACTGCCCGGGGGTCTCACCGGGAGCCCCCCTGGCTGCCTCCTTGTGCTCCCAGCGCGTTCACAGTGCTGCGTTTTCAAAGCACCCGCGGCCTTCATCCCCACCACGTGGCTGTGCGAGCAGCTCTGCCCCCTACCAGCGCCATGTCCACACGGCATCGCTTCACCTACGACTTCTCCATCTGGTACTGCCCTGAGGACCACGCCGTCGCCTCCATCATCGCTGAGTTCTTGATGAAAAAGGGCTTCCGAGGCTACTTGGAGCACTGGGACCAGGTGGCTGGCACCCCGGTTGTGCTGAGTGCCACTGAGGCCATCGGTGCCAGCAGGGTTGGCATCCTCCTGCTGTCCCCCACATCTGTGGGGGATGCGTGGTGTCAACGGGTGTCCGAGTGGAACTTGCAGCACGTCGTGGAGCGCGGTGGCACCAGGGTGCTCCCCGTGTGCCTGGGGCTGAGGAAGGAGGAGGTGCCACCCTTCCTGCAGCACCTCACCCAGCTGCAGTATCAGACCCCTTTCTTCTTCGAGCGGCTGCTGCGGAGCCTGGCAGCATCGCAGGCCCTACCAGGAGAGCTGAAGAGAGCCGAGAGCTGAGGGGCAGCTGGGGGTGGTGGGTGGGGGTCTTGTGGTGCGGTGAGAGCAGGGTGGTGGGAATGGGCCACCATGATGGGTGCACGCAGTGGGACACTGCAGCGATGTGCCTGGGGCTGCGGTTATCACAAACCTTGACAAATCCTCAATAAAACCCTTCTTGGGAAGTGGGATGTGATTTCCTTGGTGAGGATGGGAACCAGGCCGTGGCGGGGGGGCTGCCTGTCCCTGTGGGTTGGTTGGAGCTGTTTCTCTGCGGTGTTATTTCACACCTGCAGATGTTCACTCTGCTTCCCCCCTTCCTGTATGCTGCACGTCACCGCACCGGCCGCACAGCCTTGCAGCTCTTTGCACACAGCATGGAGAGGAGCGCAGTTGTGGGGCTGCTGCTGCTGCTGGCGCTGCCCAACCCCGGGCTGGGTGAGCAATGCAATGGGGCTGGGGTGGCCGATGGGGCTTCTGCGTCACTGCAGGGAGCAGCAGGGCATGGGGGCAGCCATCCCCACTCAGCAGTGGCTGTGGGATGGGTTCCCACTCTCCCAGTAGCACGGTCACATCTGCGCATCATCGGGGGACGCGAGGCCAAGCCCCACTCCCGGCCCTATATGGTGTCAGTGCAGGCCAGGGGGGTGCACGTCTGCGGGGGAGCACTGCTGAACCCACGCTGGGTGCTGACGGCTGCACACTGCATCCCACAGAGGTGAGAACTGTGTCCTGTGGAGGTGAGCGTCCCATCCCGCATCCCATCCCACATCCCATCCTTCCTGCTGCTGCACTGGGGTTTGGAGGGGCACCGTGTGGACGTGCGCTGTGTTCCGCAGTGCCGATGTCTCCAGGATGGTGGTGGTGGTGGGGCTGCACCGGCTGTGGGAGCACAGGGACACCCAGAGCTTCTCCATCCGCGCTGCCTGTCCCCACCCCGGCTACGACAGCCAGACGATGGAGAATGACCTCCTCCTGCTGCAGGTGGGGACGGTTGGTGCCAGGAAGTGCCACCAGTGGGGAATTCACACCGCGCCGCAGCACGGGGCCGGGTGACATTTCCTCTCACGCCTTCGAGCACTTTCACATCTGGGTGACATCTCACCGGGTAACATCTCATCCGGGTGACATCCACCCACTCTCACCCCGGGCGATGCGGTGACGCCGCTGTGACGGCGGTGGGCCCTGACGCTGCCCCGCACTGCCCACAGCTGGAGGGGAAGGTGAAGCGCAGCAAAAGGCATCGACCCATCGCGCTGCTGCGGAGGGAGCCGGCGGTGGGCACCGTGTGCAGCCTGGCAGGCTGGGGTGGGCGAAAAGGGCTGGCAGCCGCGCTGCAGGAGCTGGAGGTGACCTTGCTGGACATAAGGATGTGCAACAACAGCCGCTTCTGGAACGGGGACCTCACACCCACCATGATCTGCTTCCAGGGCCGGGGCCACGGCGAAGCCCCCACCAAGGTGAGGAGCTGGGAGGGGGGGGGGTTGTGCGGGGCTGTGACGCTTTGTGCCAGGCTGTGCCATCACCATCACTCCCACAGGGTGATTCCGGGGGTCCCCTGGTGTGCGGGCGCCCGGCGGCGGTGGCGGGCGTTGTGTCCTTCAGCAGCCCCAACCCTGCCGACCCCTTCAAGCCCCCGGTGGCCACCTCAGCAGTGAAGCACCGTGTGTGGATCCGGCGCACGCTGCGGCGTGGCTGCACGGCACAGATGGAGCAGCCCCGGCTATTTACACAGGTTTGCATTTAATTTTTAATACTGTCCAGAGTCCTGGTAAAATAACATCCTTGGTACATACATACAGCAACGGGGGGACGGGACACCACAAACCCAGCGCGATTCCACACAGATGGGGACGAAGCCGACGGTCACACATAGGGCAGATGGGTGGCAGCGGGGCTGGGATGGTGGCACTGACACCCGGGGCCACAACCACGTGTGTGGGGTGACGCTGGCATCCTGCCCGTGGGTCCTGTTCTGGGTTATGGCCATCAAGAGGAGACAGGGCGTCCACAGGGGGCTGTGGCCCTATTTCTTGATCTACACGGGTGCATCCCTGTGTCCCCTACATGTCCCCATAACCCCCTGCCTGTCCCTGAAGACACCCATAGGGCACCTGGTGGTGTTGGTCCCTGGAGGCCCCACAGATCAGCCCAACCAAAGGCATGAGTGGGCAGCGAGGAGGGACTGGGGGACACGTGGGTCGGCTGGGGAGCACCCAGGTCGGGATGGGGGACACTCAGCAGCCCACCCTGGGGTGCACAGGGCCAGCTGGCAGCAGGGCGTGCAGCTCCTGCTTGTGGGCGTAATCCAGTCCTGGATGGACCCGTGTCCACGCTGTGCAGGCGCCTCACTGCCAGCCGTGCCGGGGGCTGCGTGCTGTGCGGGGGGGGGCCCAGACCCTTCCCTTGGGGTTGGGCACCCCGGTGCCACCTCTGCACTCCGTGTCCTCCCCAGGGCAGTCAGCAGCTCAGTGACAAAGCAGCCGGGACCCCGACGAGCACCCAGCCCTGGTGAGCACCGCACTCAGCCAAGCACCCTCAGTAGGAGCAGCACAAATGGGACCCAGCCCGGCCCCGCGCCTCGCCATTCGGGGTCCCTCCCTGCTTCGCTCTGGCTGTGTATCCCCGAGATGAGGCGACCCCGTCCCCGCAATAAAGGCTCTGCGATGCCTGGCGGTGCCGTGCCGATGCGCGAGCTGAAGCGTGCGGCGCGAGCCTGGCGTTAAGGCTTTGCTTGTTGTGTTTCTGGGTTGTGGGGACACGACCCCGAGGGCTCCCCCTAGGGCCGCAGCGCCCCGGGGACTCCCATCGGCACTGAGAAGCGCTCGGCTGCAGGGATCGGTCCCCACCCACGGGGTTTCGCCTGGTCTTCAGCACGGGAACCTTTGGAGCTGCATTGGAATAAACCCCGCCTGGGCTGGGGAGGGGTCCCGGCCGTCCCACGTCTCCATCCCCGCGGGCAGGAGGGGTCCGTCGGGGTCCGTCCGTGGCAGCCGCTCACGCCTGGATTTTCTCCACTGCTTTGTCAGCCACTGCCGGCACCGCCATGGGGCTGGGGACGTAATTGAAGGGGGTGACGCGGGCGGCGCGGCTCGGGGAGCCGTGCCTGCTGGCGGGGAAGGTCCCGGCGGGCGCCTCGTGCCCGAAGGAGATGGGCAGAGCGGCCTTGGTGGGCGCCGGGGCTTCGCCATCGTGCCGGGGGCTCTCCATCGTGGGCGAGGTGCTGGAGTTGGTCTTGGTGGTGGCGAAGTCCTCGGTCTGCACCACGGCGTCGCTGGTCTTCCTGGGGCCGGGGAGCGGCTCCTCGGCGGCGCTGAGCAGCGGCAGCGCGGTGGAGGGCAGCGTGCTCTGCAGGATGTGCGGGATGTCCTCATCGCGGATGCGTCGCCACGTGCCTTTCATCATCGCCATCGGCGGTTTCTCCTCCGTCGCCTCGCCGGGTTTCCGCCGCCGCGCCGACGCCTCGGAGCAAGCGGAGAGGACGGAGGACGGGCTGCCGGTGCGGCGCGGCACGCTGATGTTGGGCGATGAGGAATACCGCTTGAACGGCTCTGGGACGGCCGTCTTCACCGGCAGCCGGGAGGGGCTCTCGGAGCTGGTCCTGCGCGGGGGCTTGGATGCGGCGGGGGCTTTGCAGCCGGGCTGCGCCCTGGAGACGAGCGGACGCGGCGCGGGCGCTGCTGGTTTGGCCGCCTTCAGCTCCTCGCAGCGGGACGAGCAGAGGAAGACGGTGGGGAGGGCGGCCCGACTGCGCTGCGGGGACGCGCCGCGGGGCAGTGAGGTGGCCTGGGTGGCCGGGCCGTGCTCGGCGCGGTGCCGCAGCAGCAGGCTGGAGGACTCCTTGATGAAGGTGAGCTGCCGCAGGAAACCCGAGCGGTCCGAGTCGCTGCCGCTGGAGCGAGTGGATGACATCCGCACCAGGTTGAGCCGGCTGCTCCCCGCCCCCCCCGGCGTGCCGCCCTTCGCCTTGCCGCTGCCCTCCTGCTCCTCCAGCACCGGCATGGCCGAGCGCACCGGCAGCACCTTCCTGCTGGGCTTCTGCATGAAGGGGATGCGGACGGGTGACTTCTGCGTCTTGTGCTGCCGGGGGGCCGGGGATCTGGGGGCCGTGGGTTTGGCCGAGGGGCCGGGCGGGGAGGGAGGGCCGGTCGTCTTGCCCGTCTGCACGGGGCTCTGCTTGGAGAGCTGCGAGGGCGACGGCAGCTTCTTGGGCACGTGCTGCGAGGGCGTGGAGGTGCGGGACGAGCCCGAGGACGGCGGCCCTTTGGCGATGCGGGCAGGAGGCGTGGTGCTGCGTTTGGGCAGAGCCAGGTCCCCCCCCTCGGGCGGCTTCCCCAGGCGGTGCAGGCTGCGGGAGCGCTGCTGGCTCAGCGACAGATTCTTGGGCGCCGGGGGTTTGGCCATGGGGGATTTCTTTGGGGTGGAGCGCGGGCTGGGCGCGTCCTTGGCCAAATTGGGCATGTAGATGACGGTCCTGCCGCGGAAAACCACCGGCAGGTTGGGCACGGGTTTGCTCGGTGCTGGGCTCCTCTCTGCCCTCGCATTGCCAGCAGGACGGGCGCTCGGCGCCTTCTTCGCCTCCGGGCGGCTCTTGGCACGCTCCCTCCTCTCCGCCTCCCGCCCGGCCGCACTTCCAGAGCGTTTCTTCTCAGCCCTGTCCAGGGAGAGCTGCAGAGTGGAGCCGACTGAGAGCCCTGAGACGAAGGAGAGGATGGAGTCAGACTCGGAGGAAGGCTCCCGTGACAGCGACGCCGCAGCCTGGTGCAGCCAGGTGACGATGGAGTTGGCTCCCTCCTGGATGGCCTCCCACTCCACGCTGTCCAGGTCGGAGCCGCCGTCGGAGCCCAAATCCTCGGAGCGATGCCTGCCCTCTGCCGGGCGCTCCCTCCCAGTGCCGCCCTTCGGCTTCTGCTTCCTCTCCGCCGTCCTCCGCCTCGTCGAGGGCCGCCGGCGCTTGGGCATGGCAGAGCCGATGCACTTCTGCAGGAGGTCGTCCTCCGAGTTGGGGCTGGGGGAGCGGCCCTGCGTCTGCCCCACCGCTGCGCGCTGCCGGGGGGCTGAACCACACTCCTCACCCTCGCCAGGGTTGCCGTCGCTCAGGGAACTCATGGAGGAGCTCAGCGAGTAGCACGGCGGTGTCTCATCAGCAATCAGGTTGTGCTGCAGCTTGCCCTTCGCTTTGCCCTTCGTCTCAGGCTCCCTCCTGGGCACGGAGCCCCCGCAGCGCTCCCTCCGCAGCGCCCGGCCAGGCTGCGCTCCACCGCCGGGCACCTCCTTGCCCAGCCCGGGCTCATCCGAGTCGTGCTCATAGAAGCAGTAGACGGCTTCTTCGGTCGGCGTGGTGTGGCACAGTGACTGGAAGGCCGCCCCTTCCTCCCGCATACCGTCCTTCCTCCCGGGCAGGCTGCACGGCCGCGTCCCAGGGCTGCCGCTCCTCCCCACCTCTGGCTCCGTGCCGAGCACGGGTTGTCCCCGCTTCCCCTCCGCGCCTCTGCCCGGCGGCACGGGGCTGTCCCGGCTGGAGCCCGCCCTGCCCCTGCAGGCTGAGCTGGGCCGCGTGTGCGCTGAGCCGCCCAGAGCAGATCTCCGTGCTGGCGATGCCGCGGTGCCCATTTCCCTTCTCCTTCCCGCACCGTGGGGGGGTTCGGCCTCTTCCTTGGGGCCACGCAGGGTCTCATCGCTCAACGAGGCTGTGCTGGAGAAGTTGACGGGGGTCCCATCAGCCGAATCGGTGTAGGAGTCATCGTCCTTGTAGAGCTCCCGGGCGGTGGCACGGAGGTGCTTGGGGACAGCAGTGTGTGTGGGCACCAGCATGTAGACGGGGACGTGGAGGGGCTTCTTGGTGTGCGGGTGCAGGACCTGCCCTGAGAGCAGCGAGCTCTTCACCTTGCGGAAGCGCGAGGGCATGGCGGAGCTGATGCACTCCTTTAGGATCTCAATGTCATCGTCAGAGCTGGGCTCTGCCCGGCGTTGGCCCTCCAGGAGCTGCTCCTCCCGCTCCTCCCGCTCCTCGTGCACTGCAAAATTCAGGCTGTTCTTCTCGGGGAAGGTGGGCATCAGCTTCAGCTCCACGTCCTTCTGCACGTAGTGCTCGTGCAGCGGCAGGGCGCTCAGGCTGGAGGCGCACGAGAAATTCTCATTGGGTTTCTCCACTGTGAAATAAACCATGGAGTCCAGGTCCTGGGGCAGCTGGAAGCGCTCCTTGAAGTCGGTGATCTCCATGAACTTCTTGACGTTGTTCTCCCACTGGATGTTGAACTGGCTGGTCTCCTTCTCGGGTGGGCAGCCCAGCTCGAAGAGCGGCGTCTTGCTGCGGCTGGGTGGCATCGTCTGCCCCGGGCTGTCGGGCAGCTCACTGGGGCTGACGGTGCCGCTGATCATCTCGCTGCATGGGTCGCTCTGGATGGAGCTGGCGATGGATGGGCTCTCGAAGCTGCCCAGAGAGCTGACGGAGCTGCAGCGGCTCATCACCAACGGCGTCTCCTGGATGTAGTTCTCTGAGGAGCTGGAGGGAGTGTGGTCCTCCTGGCGGGAGGGGGATGCATCCCTCAGGAAGAGCTTGTCACGTTTGGGGAAGGGGATGGTGATGGGCTGGGAGATCCCCACCGGTGTTGTCGGACCCATCTCCGCCTTCTCCTTCTCCTGCCTCGCGTCCTCAGCTTCCCCATCCCCTTCATCCATCTCCAGGATCTCCAGTGAGGAGTCACTGTCCAGGTCATTCTCGCTGTGGCTCTGCCCATCCAGCACATTGTCGGCTGAGGAGAGGGAGGAGAGGGAGCTGCAGCGGGAGAAGCAGATGGGGGTGTCCTCCACCGAGTACTTCTGCACCGACTCCTGCTCGGCCGGGGCCAGGGGCTGGGCTGGCAGCTTCTCAGGGATCTTGCTGAGGGTGTCGGCTGTTTGCAGGAGGGCCGGGGGCAGCCAGGCTTGCTTCCTTCCCAGCAGCGAGGTGTGGTGGCTGATGGCTGTGCTGCTCTTGGCCAGGCTCCCGAGCAAGGGCACATGCTGGTACGAGGGCGAGAGCTTGATGGTGTGCACCTGTGGGTCGGCGGGCAGCTTGCCGCCCATCTCCTTCTTCCTGCCAGTCTCCAGCGCTTTGGGACTGGGGAAGGTCACCGCCTTCCTGCCCCGCTCCGGCGCCTCCCTCTGCTCTGGCTTATCCGGCTCGGCCCTGAGCACAGGGGGGTCAGGCTTGGTGCCCAAGATGCTCTTGAGGTCCAGCCTGCTGGGCCGCTTCTGGTAGCGTTGCAGCTCATCCCTGTAGTCAAGAAAGGGGGCCCTGGTGCAGGGCTTCATGTGCTCCTTGGGGCAATAGCCATCGCTGGTGCTGCCGCTGTTGAGGCTGTCTGTGGACAGGCTGGTGTACGCCGTCTTCAGCCGCAGCAGCGCCCGCGCCCGGCTCAGTCCCTCACGCCTGGCAGAGCCTCCGGTGTCCGAGAGACGGCACGGGGAGCAGGAGTGGGCGCGCACCTCGGGCGGCTCCTCGGGGCCGTACTGCCAGTCCAGGCCGTGGTCCTCTGAGCTGAGGCTGAAGCTGTCATCCGAGGACGTGTGCATGGTGGAGATGTCCTCCACCAGCTTGTCGATCTTGGCCACCGTGCTGGAGATCTTGTTGGCCAGCTTCTCGGCGGCCAAAGAGACGTCGTCCTCCGGCAGCGGCGGCTTCTTGGGCTCTGCCGGCTTCCCACCATCGTCCTTCTCTGGTTCTGGGCACCGTCT